GGGGGATATAATGAGACTGTAAGAATGGGCAAGGGGAGGCAGAGGAGAGAGAGAGGAGTGGATGGAGAGAGGATTGGAATAAACTGCAACTAAGACCAACCAGCCTGGCCCTCGTTTCCTTCCTTCACTTGCCCAGCACCATCGACCTCCCCGGGGTGGGGGAACCGGCGTGACACTACCGAACTCAGGTGGCGGGAGAGATAGACCTGCTGCTGTCCTTTTTGAGTTTACACAAGCCTCATGCAAGGCAAATGCCCTACCCGCTGTACTATCACTCCGGCCCTTGAGAACCTCCTTTTGCCCTGCCCTGGAAGTTTAACTGGCATTGGGATTTGCACAATGCCCTGGGCTGGAGAGACAGCAACAGCCAGCTCTGCTCTGGCCCACAGGCGCTCACACCCAGGGAGGAGGGCATGGAGGGAGTCCCTAGATCCCTGCATACACAATGCAGGGAGGAGAGCAGGAACCAGCCCAGGAGTTTTGTACAGGGCAGAGTAGAGGAGCACAAGGTACCAAAGGAGACACACAGTGGGCTGTAGCTAACAACCACCAAAGCAGGGCGGGGGAAATGGCACAAAGGGCTGGGGCATGTACTGTGCCCGTGGGAAGCCTGAGTTTGATCCCTGGGTACCACTGGGAACAAGCCCTCAAACACTGCCAGAAATGGTCCCAAAGCAAACAAACAAAACCAACCAAGCAGGAAGACCTGAGATTCAGTATGACCTTCTCTAAGTCCTCAACCACGGGTGGCAGGATCAGAGCAGAGGAGGCCCGGGGGCTCCCAGCTCTGTGCCCAAGAGGCCAGCAGCCCTGACTGCCAGAGTCTGAGAAACAGCGGGGAACAGACAGGAAACAGACAGGAAAGGTTCCTGGGAGGAGCAGGCCCCTAGGTTGGAAGTCAAAGAGTGTTCCTTGAGCAAGAAAGGCAGAAGCACCGCATTGCTGAGGGAAGAGTAAACCATAGTGGCAAGAGCACCCCAGGGCAGGAGGGGACACAGCTCGTCTGCGTGCAGAGCTCCCCTGGTGTGCAAGGATGGGAAAGAGAGGCCTGGAGGGTGGCAGGTGCGGGAAGCATGTGAGATCGCGGGGATGGGGTGGGGAGGTTGTGAGGGGACGGTGATTTTCAACCTTGTATCACATCTGGAGGCGCTCAAGTGTGATAGGGAACAGCCAGCTGGCTTAGAACTTCACATCTTGAACTGGAGCAATAGTACAGTGGTTAGGGCATTTGCCTTGCACATGGCCAATACGGATTCAATCCCTGGAATCCCATACGGTCCCCCCAGCACCACCAGGAGTAATTCCTGAGTGCAGAGCCAGGAGTAACCCCTGCGCTCCCAAAAAGCAAAAAAAAAAAAAAAAAAAAAAAGACAGAACTTCACATCTCAGGACCAGAGAGCTATAATACAGCAGGTAGGGCATTTTAGCCTGTGGCGGCCCGGGTTTAAGCCCCAGCATCCCATAGGGTTCCCTAAGTCCACCAGAAGTGATCCCTAAACACTACCAGGTGTAGCTCCAAAACAAAAAAAGAACCTCACACCTCAAGCAGGCTCTGTTTTTTTAGATCTTCCCAGAGGGAAGAAAGCTCCTTTCTCGCTTCACTCATCCCCAGGATTGATCCCTGTGGGCCCTCAAGGCAGGTCATCTCACACAGCCTCCTGCCCTCTGGCTCCCAGGCATCCACCCAGGTGTGCAAACTGCTCACCGGACACGAAGAAGTGAAGCAGCACCATCGGCCCTCCCCTGTCCTGTGCCACTGTGGCTGCTGGGACACACACACACAACACACACACATACCCCTACCTGAGCCTAATACTCCCCATTCTTAAGGTAGGTGCCTCCCACCAGGGGTTGCCTTAGAACAGCTATGGAGAGATCATGGAGCTGCTCCCGTGGGAAATAGAGGACCACACAGAAAGTAGCTTTAGTTTTCTTCATTTGCTAGTTGTTGGGTTTTGGGGTTTTTTTTCCTTCCATTTTTAGGACACACAACACCTGTCTGGGTGCTCAGGGTTGCTCCCGGTGGTGTCCAAGGGACCACGTGTGCACAGCCTGTGCTAGGCCCCCAGTGCCTAAGCGCTACAAAGTGGCATCTGTCACTGTCTTTGGGGAAGAGCAACAAAGGAATGACAGTTGGGACAGCCTGTCTGGGGACAAAAGCTCCAGCCTGCAGGAAGGCTCCATGGAGGATCCAGCAGGTCCCACGCCTGAGGACCCCTCCAACACCGGCCAGGTGGGCCCTAGGGTTGGGTCTTCCCAGCTGAGTCCTCCCTTCAGAGGCTCTCAGCATACCTGCTCCACCAAGTGTCCGACGTGCTCAAATGTGCTCAAGTGTCCACTGTACTTCAAGGCTTGAGAAAGCCAAGAGCTGAACCTGTGAACTGGAGGACCACATCTGCCCCAGGAGTCACGGGGACTCTGTCTTCATACACTCCCTCCGGTGAACTGGAGACTCTCCAAGCATTAAGACACTTATGTTTTTGTGTCATATTCAATGTGCTCAGGATTTCTTTCTGGCAGGGCTCAGGGGGTAGGTAGGGGAAGTGGCATATGAGGTGCCAAGATCAAACCTGGATCAGGTTTACTTGCCCTGCAAGCGTGTTACCTGCTGTACTATCTCTCAGGTCCCCATAAAGAGATATTTTGCACAGGGTCTCTGGTGAATGGGAGGCAAATGTGGGGACGGGGGAAACTGGTGGAAGGAGTGGGAGCTGGTGTTAAACAACATATGCCTGAGACCCAATCACGAGTAAGTTTGTAATTTCATGGTGACTACAAAAAGTAAAATAAAGGGCCGGGGGGTGGGGGGGGGAGAAGAAATATCTTGCACAGGGCCTGGAAGACAGTACGAGAAGTTAGGGTGCATATCCAGGCTCAATTCCCCGGCATCACGTGGCTTCCTACATCACCAAGTGCAGTCCAAGAGGCTCTTGAGCACCACCAGAGAGGCCCGAGTGGTCCCCAGGGCCGTATCCTCAGGTCCAAGCACTGAATCACTGGCCAGGTTGGCCAAGAGTTTCCAGGAGTGGGGCCAGAGTAGTAGTATAGCGGGTAGGGAGTTTGTCTCGCATACAGCCGACCCGACCGACCAGGGTTTGATTCCTGTCATCCCATATGGTCCCCTGAGCACTACCGGGGTGATTCCTGAGTGTGGAGCCAGGAATAACCCCTCAGCACTGCCGGGTGTGGCTCCAAAACAAAAACACCCAAACCAAAGAACTGCCAGGAACGGCCATAAGCATCATCGGACACTGCTTGGGAGGTCCAAATAGATACATAATTTTGCAGTCTGGGGAGATGGTTCAAAGGGCTGGAATGCATGCTTTATTTCTTCTTTTTTTTCTATCCAGGCTATGCTCAAGGTTTATTCCTGGCTCTGTGCTCAGAGACCACTTCCTGGCGAATCTTGGGGAACCATATGTAGTGGCAATGCTCAAACTGGGGTTTATCTCTGTACTATCCCTTTGATCCTGCAGTGCATGCTTGATATGCAAGAGGCCGGAGTTCAATCCTGAGCACTTTGTTAGTCCCCCAAACACCAGGCTCTACAGTCCCCCCACCCACCATTTTTTCTAACTACACATGAGGGCTAGAGCAAACCCTTGGAGGTAGCCATGCAGTGATCCTTGGCATTGCACATGGTCCCCCAAGGAGGCCCTGAGCACCACTGGGTGGTGCCCAAATCCCCCAAATAATATTTTTTACTTGATCATTCTGAAAAATCATGATATACAAACTACAACTGAGATTTGAAGACAAAAGTGATCGAAGAGAATCAGAGTTGGGTTTCTTTTAAATTACTGGGAGATACAGTTACAAAGTTGTTCATGATCTGGTTTCAGTTGTATAATGTTCCAATACCCATCCCTTCACCAGTGCACATTTCCCACCACCAATGTTCCCAGTTTCCCTCCTGTGACCTCCTGCTCACCTGCCCTGAGCCTTACCTGTGCAAAATGAGGGTAGGATGCCAATTCTACCCAGTGTGTCATGAGGAGGGATGGGGTGACACAGACAGCCATGAGACACCCAGGGGCAGACAAGGGGGCACAAAATGTACAGTGTCATAAGCTGCAAGAACCCAGGGAGGAGCCACACGAGTGTCAGCCAGGGAAAGGGCCAGAAGGGTGACCTGTCACTTCCTGAAGCCTCTGTCAATGTGCTCATGTTATCAAGTGACTGCCTTCAGTGCCCACAGGCAACTAGAGGTCCTGACACTGGCCCAGGGCACATGGGCACTTCCAGGCAGCATCAGAACACTGTGGGGGCGGGGAGGGCGTGGAGGCAGGTGCCATTGAAAGATAAGTTGCAAAGCATCATAATTAAAAAAAAAAGCACTTAAAAAAACTTGCATAAGTAGAGAGAAAGCAAACATGACAAAACGTTAACAAGTTGTATACAGGTTGCATTACTGAGCTCAACTTTTTCACAGATCTGAAGCTTTCCTTACTGAAACGCTCAGTGGAAGCCAGAGTAATGTAGGAAGAAAACTTACTTGACACCAAGACAACTTGGGGCAGAAAGTTCATTTTTCGAAAGTGCAATATTACAAGTAAAACCATCACAAGTAAAATCATCTTTAAAGGCAAGAGATAGGGGTCTGGAGAGACAAGGGCGCTTGCCGAGTGCCCGCTCTGCGTGCAGGAGGCCCCATCTGCCACACGACACGGTCCCAAGCACCAGCGGGAGTGACCCTGAGCAATGAGCCAGGTGCAGTAATCCCTGAGCACCACCAGGTGTGGCCCAAAAGCCAAAGAACCCAAACTGAAAAATAAGAACACAGAACATGCCCTAGAGACACAAAAACCTCTCAGGGCAGAACACAAAAACCCCAGGACCTCCCCGTGGTGTTGACAGAGACAATGAGAGAAGCTCTGGGGAAGCAACCTGGGGGCTTCTGCCAGCCCCTCCATCCGGCGGCCAGTGCCAGCACGCAGACCGGCAGAGCTGGCATCTCGGCTGCGCGACTGGCTCAGGGGAGCAGGGGGCGGTCAGCTCACCTGAAATAATCGCAGGACGCAGCCAGCAGGATGCGGTGGGCCTCGATGTGTCTGCCCTCCACCACCAGGACCACGTCAAAGAGGATGCCGCTGTCTCGCAGCGCCAGGAGCCCGCGGAGCAGCGCCTGCGAGTGCTGGGCGCTTCGGTAGGTGTTGTTGACGCAGTGCGTGTGCGAGGGCTGCGCGGGCAACTTGCACAGCTGCGTGAACTCCTGCTCCTCCGCCATCCTCGCCACCACACTGGACCGCACCACCGCGGGCGTCAGCTGGCAAGACAGAGGGGACGTGAGCGAGGCAGGGACGGATGTCCAGCCCGGGGCCCCAGGGATCGCCCTGCTCCCCGAGGCCCGGCGGCTCCTGGCTCTGGCTCCTCCTTCCAGGCCCCTGGAGTCCCTGCTGCCTCACACCCACGTTCCCCATCCCCCCGCTGCTCATCCAGACTCGGCCTTCATCATTGCCGAGATTCTTCACGTCCCTCCATCCCCGCTGTCATCTGGAAGACAGGATCTTCCACACCCTGGCTTGGCGCCCCGACTCCTCTGTGGCCTCACCGGGAGGCTTCTCGGGTTCCGTGGGCATAAGCGAGGGGAATCAAAGCAGGAATCCCAGTGGGGAAATCTGACATTGGTCACCGGTAAACACAGAGCACCAGCACAGACCAGGTTCTCCAGGACTCTGCCTCCCTCTTGCTGAGAAAGAACAAAACTAGGCACCAGAGTCACAAGGCCTGGGCAGGGAGCAGTCAGGAGACCCAGGGGAGAGCTACACGGTAACTGGGACGCGGGTGTCCAGGGCCTGCTGGGTATCCGAGTCAGACACAGTAACTTCAACAGGACCTGCTGCTGCACCTTCTCTTTGGCGTGTTTTGGTGGGCTTTCCTTCTTTTCTGCATGGTGTTTCACTTCATTTGGGGTGGTGGGGTGGTCTGGGCTATATCCAGCAGTGCTCAGGGGCTATTGCTGGCTCAGAGGTGACCACTGGCAGTATTGGAGGTAGTACGAAGGACTCTTTTTGAGAGGGTGGCATTTGGGCCACACTGGCTCTATGCCCAGGAGAGACCCCTGAAGGTACTCAGGGGACCTGATGTGGTAGCGGATTCAAACCAGGGTCGTGGTCACCACAGACACATGCAAGACAAACTCTACTATCTGTCGGCCAGCCACTGTCAAGTGTTCTTTTTGCTTGGTTTGTTTTGGGGCCACACCCAGCTGCACTCAAGGCTTACTCCTGCCTCTATGCTCAGGGATAACTCCCGGCAGGTGTGTGGCGCCAGGTGGACAAACACCCTACCCCCTGTAATGTTTCTCTATCTCTTTGTAGAATGCTTTCAATTCAAGATCACCTCCCGATAATTGACTCAGTACACTTAAAAAGCATAAATTGACTTAAAGAGGAGTGTGAGAAATCCAATCAGTAAAACAAATCTACCACACAGTTTACTCATGCATTTGGAACTAACCACAAGCAACCACAAACCGCAGGATGCTTTGGGTCAGGGGGCGGAGGCTGACCCGGTCGGCCAGCTCATGGGAGTCTAGTAGCCATCTGCCTTCCCCACCTCAAATTCCCCCACGACCCCTCCCCCCACTCAGATTTGTTTCTTCTCCAATTCCTTACTTACTTTGAAAAGAAAATATGAAAAATGTTTAAGACTTGCCAAAAAAAGCAGAGGCTTCCCTCTGCATTGCTGGGGCTCCGGGCCAATGTCTTCCTCCTCCTCCTCCTCCTCTCCAGAGTTCTGCCCCCCCACCCCCGCCAGCATCCCATCCAACATCCAACATGCTGAATTCTTAGTCTGTCTCTTGGACTTGGGACCTGTGTCCACCCACCCTATCCTTTTCACCCTCTACGAACTTGTGCTTTCTCACCAAGGCCCAGAGACCAGAGACCACCTGGGTGCCCTCCCCACCAGAAAACCCTGCCTAGGTCAGCTCTCCCTATTCTTAGCCTTTCCATTCAGTCAGCGCATCTGCCCCAGTCCACCCTTCTTTTTTTTGGGGGGGGGGGGCACAGCCAGCAGCTCAGGACTTACTCTTGGTTCTATGCTCAGATATTATTCCTGTCGGTACTCGGGAGAAGCATATGGGATGTAGGGGGTCGAACTTGGGTCGGATGCAAGGCAAACACCCTACTCACTGTACTATCGCTCTACCCCCTCACCCCTCTTTTTCAGGAGCATTTTCAGCTCAACACCAAATCCAGCCAGCAGCGCCCTCAGCCCCACTCACCAACCCATGTTGTTTTGCTACTGGCATTGCCACGAGTTCCACATTTGAGGCCTCGTGGCCTGAACGACCTCTTTCCTCTCTAACCCAAGTTTCTTATCAGATGCTCTGTTCTAATTTCTTCTCTCAGCCGGTCATCCCCTTATTCATCCACAGTCACTACTCTGGGTCAGACTGCAGCCAGGATGCTGCAACCAATTTCCAGTCTTCTGTCGCATCCTCCCTGACTTCCCTGCCCAGGATGCACGGGGTACCCCGACCCCCCAATCCCAACTCCTCTCCACAGCTTCTTTTTTTGTTTTTGTTTTTGGCCACACCTGGCAATGCTTAGGGGTTACTCCAGGTGGTTCTCAGGGGGACCATACAGGACGCCAGGGATCAACGTGAGTTAGCTCTGTGCAAGGCAAATGCCCCTACCCACTATACTATGGCTCAGGCCCCACACACAGCTTTTCGAGTGCTGATTCCTACCACCTGCTGCTTAGGGTGCCCTCTGATCTTGCACAAAACCATCTTGTCCCTTGACTAGTGACCTTTGACAGGCACCTGGCATCCTCTGAACAATTCCGACTCCCACCTGAGTCCTTTCTGTCTCCAACATCCCCTGCACGGCTAAGGTCTAACTCTATCACCTCTCTGCATCACTGCACCAAGAACACGACAGGCATGTTCCAACACAGAAGCCATCCCACCTCCCGCGCACAAGGAAGTTCGGACTTATCTCACCCACGTCTCTTATCCCCACCCCTTGTCCCATTACACCACTGACCACACATGTCTGGGCACTCAGCTCCTATCTCTAGGCCACAGTTTTCTTCTTACTGTGAACCCTGTGAAGTCAACATTTTCTTAGGGAGCGGATGCAAGGGCTGACTGCCCAATGGGCACCAAGACCAGGTGGGTCCCCGACCTGTTATCACAGCAGCCACATCTGCTACAAATACAGGGTACCGAGTTCACCAGGAAGAGCGCCTCCATGGCAGACAAAGGACACCAGTCAAGCACAGAGGGTGTAGAAGAAAATGAACCAACTGCCTGCTCTGAAGGAACGCAGCCTGAAATGCAATATATTCAAGACCACACGTCACAAAGCGTGCAGTGGCCAAGTCCAAAAGGTCCACCATCGAAATGAGGCCTGGTGCAATATTGAGTGGATACAACTCTAGGAAATGATTTAACTGAACAAAGCAGAGCTACAGTTCCAGCCATCAACCTGGAGAAATCTCCAAGTCACACAAGGAAAGAATAGCATGCTGCAGAACATATACACAATGTTTTCTTACAAAGGGTTTTAAGTATTTCCAATACTTCTTATACATGAAGTATTATGGAATAGTAAAGGCACTCGAGGAAATCATGGCAAAGGTAATCTCCAGGAGGGAAAAAAAAAGAATGTTTTGTGTTTTTGATGCTGGAAGTCAAATCTTAAATATGGGGGACATAAGCTCTGAGTCACATCCCCTAACTATGTTTTATTTATTAAAAAAAAATTAAATAGGGGCTGGAGCAATAGCACAGCAGGTAGGGCATTTGCCTTGAGTGCAGCGGACCCGGGTTTGATTCCCAGCTTCCCATATGGTCCCTGGAGCACCGCCAGGAATAATTCCTGAGTACATGAGCCAGGAGTAACCCTGTGCATTGCCGGGTATGACCCAAAAAGCAATAAATAAATAAATAAATAAAGCAGGGGTTGGGGCTGCATGCAGTCGACCCAGGTTCGAGGTTCGATCCCTGCACCCCAGTGGTTCCCTGAGCCTGCCAGGAGTGATCATTGAGCACAGAGCCAGGAGTAAGTCCTGAGCACTAATGAGTGTGTACCCCCCTACAAAAAAAAAAGAAGTGGGGCAGGGAGCAGTTCTAGAAACATAGCATAGAGCCTAAGGTTCACCCTTAAATGAACAGACTCTAGTTTGATTCCTGGCACCACATGGTTCACACACCCTGCTAGATCACAGGGTGCAGGCCTAAAGGCTCCTGAACACAGCTGGGCATAGCCCTGGGGGTTCCCATGCACTGTCAGAATGGCCCGAGCAGCATTGCATCCTCAGCCCCTCAAGTTAAGTTACAGTTCTATTGACTGGAAACAGCCAGGAGAAGGAAGATGATGTATAAAGACAGGGAGAAGTCGTTAGTCTCTGCACTTTTCTGTTCATGTGAAACATCTAATAATTAAGGTCTCCAACTTATTTTTGAATATAAGACATTCACACGATTACAATTCAGAAGGTACGGAAAGGCACATAATGAGACTTCAATTTCCCTCCCACCTATGCCACATTCAGAGCCTCTCTCTGGGAAAACCACATCAACTTTCCCCCTATAACCTTCCAAGTGGCATCCAGGGATTCACAGGGAATCTAGAAATCTATAACATTTTCTTCCCTTTATGATCTGCATAGGATCGCTTCCTACCTCTCCCACTGTCCAGTTCTTTGGGGGAGCCATGTTTTCTTTCCTTTTTTTTTTTTTGCTTTTTAGATCACACCCGGCGATGCACTCAGGAATTACTCCTGGTGGTGCTCAGGGTACCATATGGGATGCTGGGAATTGAACCCAGGTCGACCGCCGTGTGCAAGGCAAACGCCCTACCTGCTGTACTATTGCTTCAGCCCCAGCCATGTTTTCATTTTATCAGTTTTTTTTCCAGAGATGAATCTGGATTTCTCCTATTATTTTTACACTGAAAGTTATTTAAAGACACCATACAAGCATCAGTTTTGACGAAAATTTCTTTTATACAGAACTGATGGGTCATTTAGAATTTTTTTAATTAAATTTTGTTTGTTTTTTTGTGCCACACCCAGTAATGTTCAGAGATTATGCTTGACTCTGAACTCAGATGTTACTCCTGGTGGCGCTCCGGGGACCATATGAGATGCTGGGGATGAAACCTGGGTAGCCCCATGCAAGGCAAGCACCCTACCCCGCTATAGTATCTCTCAGGCTCCAAAGGTCATTTTATTTTTAACATGTATTTGCCATTTAAATGTGTAATGCCAGATTGGCAACCACAGAAACTGAGCCAATTTATATGTCCATCAGCAAAGTACAAGAATTACCGTGTAGCTAATCAACAGTGTTTCTTTTTACTCTTTGCTGACTTAACAGATGGAAAACCACATTTCACAGTATAACCACATTTCTGTAATTGACCATATTGCAAAAAAAAAAAAATGAAGTGGGATGCAGAACATCCTTTGTCAATCCTTTCTCATGCCTGTTTTTCTGAAGCCAAGAAATGTTCTCAGGAGCTCACTCAGTGGCTCCTCATCTTTCTATCCTCTTCCCAGAGGCTGCTCTGTGTCCTGAAGCCCTACACTTAATTTCCTCCTGCAGTAGCAATCACAGGCAAGACCCTCGATTCTGGGTTGTCTCCAACTGGGATGGGACAGATAGCACTAAGGATTAAGGTGCTTGCTTTGCATGAAGTTGACTAAGGTTCGATTCCCAGCACCCCCTATGCTCCACCAGGCAGCTCTAGGAATGATCCCTGAATGAAGAGCCAGGAGAAAGCCCTAAGCACAAGCCAGGTGTAGCCCCCTAAAAAATATAAGCCCCCACAAAAGCAAAATAAAGCTTTAGAGGGAAACTAAGAAGTCCACTTTTATATCTCTGGTAGGTACAAACCAAGAACTGTCAAGTAAATTTTTGATAATCTCACAGATGAAGGAGTCAAGAGCATTTTAAAAAACTGTCAGCTCAATACCATCCCCTGAGACAGGCTGGCCCTCTTTGTGTGGTCCAAAAACGGAGCCTGCCCTCAATGAATCCCAGTCCTGGGGAGAAGAGAGCCAAGTCCGCAACAAAGGGCAAGTGGCAATTTGGGAAGTGGGAAATGGATCCAATTTGGGAAGCGGGAAATGGGCACCAGGTCCTAATAATCTCTGGAGGGGGAAATGAGTTCTTATCTCTGGAGGGGGGGGAAGGGTCCTTATCTCTGGAAGGGCACTGGGTCCTTATCTCTGGAGGTGTGACGGATTCTTATTTCTGGAGGAGCAGTGGGTTCTAATCTGTGGAAGGGAAATAGGTTCTTTTCTGGAGGGGCAGTGGGTTCTTATTCCTGGAGGTGCAATGGGTTCTTAATTCTGGAGGAGCACTGAGTTTTTATCTCTGGAGGGACAATGAGACATTACTTCTGGAGGGGCAGTGGGTTCTTATCTCTGGAGGATAAATGGGTTTTTATTTCTGTTGGGGCAATAGGTCCTTATCTCGGAAGGAGCAGTGTGGTTTTTATTTCCGGAGGGGCAACGGGTCTCTCTTTCAGGAAGGGGAGCCTTGGTCGGGGTGCCTATTTGGGAAGGACTCTGGATGCCTCGAGAAAACAGAGTCGCGGCGCGCGCAAAACCAGGTGTGCAGGCCCAGCCCCAAGGGGTCTAGAAAGAGGGACCCCCCCCCACCTCCCGGGGAGGAGCCTGCTGCAGCCTGCGGCGGCTCCGCGGGCCTGCCCGCGCCCGCTGCAAAGAGTCGGAACCCACGGCCGTCTCCTGGCCACCCCCGGCAGGTTCTGCACTGACAGCGCCACCTCCACGGCGACTTCTCCCGGCCCCGCGCGAGCTGCCGAGGCTCGGGGCTCCGTGGATCGCAGTCCCGGGGAGGCGGCAGGGCACGGGGCCGAGGAAACCGAGGCTCCGGAGGTCCAAGGTCACGCCGGGACTAACAGCGCGGCCCCGACCCACCCGCCTGTTGCAGGTCCCGCCCGCGCAGCGCCCGAGGGTCGCGGCCGGAGAAAGGCCGCGCTCGGACCCGCTTCGAACGACACGGCTAGTGCAGGCGCGCCGAGGCCCACCGCCCCGCCGCAGCCCCCCGGACCGTTCGGACGGCGGCGAGCGCCGGCTCCCGGCCCCAGCTGCGTCCCCGCCTGCCCCCGCGGGGGTCGCTCCGCGGAGCCCCCGCCACGTCAGGCCGCGACTCACCTCCGGCCGCTGGCCCGCGCCGCCCGGCCGCCCACCGCCCCCGCGCGCCCCCGCGCGCCGCGCGCCCGGCGCCCGATCGCCCACTCCGGCCACCCAGGTCCGCGATCGCCGCCGCAGCCCGCGCCGGGCAGCTCACCTGGCGCCGCTGCAAGCCGAGGCCACACTCGCGGGAGGCGGGGGCGGGGCGGGGCGCGCGGCCGGGGGCGGGGCACGGCCGGTCACGTGCGCGCACTGCGCAGGCGCGGCGCAGCTCGGGCGGCGGGGGCGGGGGGGGCGGCTCGGGGGCGGCGGGGGCGGCTGCGGGCTGGGGACGCGACCGGCGGGGGCGCGGGAGGTGTGTCGCGAAGCCCGGGCACGGGTCTCTGCAGAGAATGGCCTCGGCCCCCGGCTGAGGGGTGCGTCTCTGCACCTGCCACAGCTCCTGAGAACCGACGGGCTGAGCGAATGAATGAATGAATGAATGAAGGATTGGGGTTTTTTTGGCGAGTCAAACCCTGTAAATTCATTTCCTCCTTCCTTCCCTCTCCCTCATCTCCCCTCTGATTCCTTCCCTCCATGCATTCTTTCCTCCTCCCTCCCCTCTCATTCTTTCCCTCCCTCGCTTATTCTCCCTCTCGCGCATCACTCTCCCAAGACCTCCGGCACTCATTCATTCACTCGCTTCTCGCTCCCTCTGGGTTTCCACTCTGCTCCCTCACCTCCTGCGGTGCCCCCTCAACCTCCCGTTGCGCCCGAGTGGATGGCCCGCCCTCTGCTGGATAGGGAGAGTTGGTGAGCTTAGCCCGCGTGCACCGCTGTGTTTGCCCATTTTCGACTGAGATTCTGAAGTCAATCTCATCTCCAGCTCGAAGGATTGGTCCCAGCCGTCCTGGAGGACCGCTCTCGGCGTCCAGTTTCTCCCCAGCGCCGAGGTTCATCTGTGATAATGCATCCAGCCACGAGAGCAGCCAAGTCTCCCCCGGATACCTGGGGTGGGGCCATCCTGCCCCAAGGTCTGAGAGAGGGGAGAGGATGTGGTCTGCCCCAAGGTCTGAGAGGATGGGGAGAGGATGTGGCTCTAGAGGCTCTTGGTTGAAAAACAGAGTGATGAACTGGAAGGTACCACAGAAGGGGAGTTAAAGTGAGGGGAAGACTGCTGAGACAATAAGGGACAGAAGTGGACTCTGGTGGAGGGTGTGATGAGGGATTGTGTTAACACATGTAATCCTCCCACAAACAGTATTGTAAACCATGGTGCCTAGGACGAAATGTTAAGAATTTTTAAAAAGACGATGGGCCAGAGAGATAACGTAGAAGTTGCTTCCTTTGGATGTGGCAGATCCGTGATGGATCTCCCAGCGCCACCTATGAGCACTACCAGGAGTGATCTGTGAGCATCACTAGATCTGGCCCAAAAAGAAAGAGAAAGAAGAGAGGCCAGACAGATAGCACAGGGGAGAAGGCAACTGTCTTGCATGCAACTGACCCAGATTTAATCACCTGCATCACATATGGTTACCTGACTCCCGTCATGTGTGACTCCTGAGCACAGCTGGGTCAGGTCCAAGCTTTCTGGGAAAGGAAGAAAAAAAAGAAAAAATAGGGGCTGGTGCAATAGCACAGCGGGTAGGGCGTTTGCCTTGCACGTGGCCAACCCGGGTTCAATTCCCAGCATCCCATATGGTCCCCTGAGCACCGCCAGGAGTAACTCCTGAGTGCAGAGCCAGGAGTAACCCCTGTGCATCGCCAGGTGTGACCCAAAAAGAAAAAAGAAAAAAAAGGAAAAATAGAGGAAGAAAAACAAAAAGATACCCTGTCCCAGCTGAGCCCAAAGAACTGTCTGAGGGTTCCATACAGGAGCTAGAGCATAGGCACTGCCTCTGGGAGCAAAGGTTTTAATGGGCATGGTCTTCCTGGAAGACTCTGGAGATGATTCTTCCAGATGTGTAACAGATGAGAACTTGGGGGATTGGGGAAAGCATTCCTCGAAGGGGTCAGTGTCAGCTAAAGCATGGAGGTGAGATCCAGGATAGTAGTTGAGAGGCTGCCAGGAGTTTCTGAGCCTGCCAGGTGCACTGGAGTGTTGGTACTAAGCCAGGACATTAGGTCGAGCCTTTGAACACTGCCCTGGAAGCAGGAAGCAGAACCGAGGCCCTACTTTTACTTTAAGTGGGCAAGCTAAACTCGTGAGTCCGATTATCTGGAGAAGTACAGCATGCTCTCATATGCCCGCCTGGTCATACATTATCTTGGCAGTACGAGGCAGCAGTTTTCCCCTCTCTTACACATCCTTAATCTGGTTTGACCTTCAAGTATCAGTATGAGCCTTCTCTTTGCCCTATGTGTAACCAACCACAAGAATGTGGGGGACGTAATTTGTAGAGCCTAGGTGTCCAGCTCCACATCTTCCTCTGACATTTTAATCATGACAACGTAGCTTTGACAAGACAATGTATACCCTGATGTTTTTTTGACGAATGTTCATCCTGTAACTGTTTGTACTCTCATTAGTGAGTCTTTCTTTGTGATGAAGTCATTAGGATGTAACTGATTAAAAAAAAAAATAGAATAAAAGGAGGCCTCTGGCAGTTGCTCTTCGCCTTGGCCCTCCACGCTCTCTACATTCCTCTCGTGTGTCTTGCCTCTGCACCTCCGACCAAAAGAATATTCACGCAGCACTGGAGACTGGATACAGCCTAGTCCACACCCCACACAGGTGACAGAGGCTAGACTGGAGAGTGGAAGTGGGCTGAGCAAAGCTGCAGCAGATAGATTTGGCCTCAGGAGGGGAGGGAGTAAGGGCAGTCAGAGCTGGTTGGAAACCTGTGAAGGACCCAGATTCCCCAGTATGAATGAGTTAGTGAGGAACGGGGAAACCCAAGTGAGGGTAGGGGGCAGGGGCTCCACATGATCCAGAGCAGGTTTGGGGGCAGTGAGCTGGACTTCGGCCCCTGGTCAGGTGAGGAGCCTACAGCCGAGAGTCAAAACGAGTACCGAGCTGGAGTCGCCCCAGCCACTGCCAGTGTGTTCCCTCCAAATACTGAGAAGAGGTGATGCCTAGAGTCAGAGGAAGTTTGGGGGTCAGAAGAGCTAAAGCACAGCACGAAGCTCACTAGTACAGGGAATCCAAAGGACTAAGAGAGTGAAGACCCAGTGGGCCAGGGTGTGAGGGTGACCCTGAGGGTGACACTTAGGGAAGAGGAGGTGGAGCTCTTAGGAGCCTTTCCTCGGGGGTCCAATGCAGCCTTGGTGACCGATGTGTAATGGAGGCGATTAAGGCCAAGAGGACGACTGGGCTGAACCTGATTTCTGAGATGAGGACAATGGAACAGAGCACACTCAGGGTAGGAGTGGGTGCCCAAAGGATGAGTGACGGGGGTGAGGCCAGAAGTTGGGGTCAGGGGGAGACACTCTCTATTCTCCTCCCCTGAGAGAAGCTATCTCAAAATATGCCCCAGATAAAGTCAGTGGTTCTGAAAGTCCTCAGAGGAAAGTAGCAAGACAGGAGGAAACTTCAGAAGCTGGTGTGCAGGACAATCTGGTATCTCCATCCAATGGGTTTTTGCTTCCTAGGACATCATCCAACACTTCATCTGTCCTTCTTGGCTGTACCCCAGCACCCATTAATAGGGCTGGCACTCAATAGATACTAAGTAAATATAAGTGGCAAATATCATGGTAGAGACATAAGAAGCAGAGTCGGTTAAAGGTCTGGCATTTTGGGCTGGAGAGATTGTGCAGAGGGTAAAGCCTATAGCTTGCATGCACGAGGCCCCAAGTTCAGCCCCTAGCACTGAATGGCCCTGGAGCCCTGTGGCCCTCGTAACCCTCAGCACCACCAGGCATGAGCACCGCTGTATTGCCAGGTTAGTATTGCCACTGGTGGCCCAAAGGCCACTGAGTACTGCAGAGGTGCCCTCCCCACAAAGTACTGGTAGCAATGACAGGTGAATTTTGAAACCTCAACCTAATGTAAGCTGTTGCAAACATGCTTTCTGTGAAGAAATTTCATCAGGTACCCTCTGCAAACTAAAATTGAGAAAACTTTTGGGGCTGGAGAGATAGCACAGCGGGTAGGGCATTTGCCTTGCAAGCGGCCAACCCGGGTTCGATTCCCAAGGTCCCATATGGTCCCCTGAGCACCTCCAGGAGTAACTCCTGAGTGAATGGCCAGGAGTAACCCCTGTGCATCGCCAGGTGTGACCCAAAAAGCAAAAAAATAAAATAAAATAAAATACACATGTGCACCACAGCCAGAAAGTGCAATTCATGAGGAGCATGTGTGAAGTGTGAGCTTCAAGGGGAGTCCTGGCAAATACTCCAACCAGAATGTGGTGCCTAGGCACTATAATTAAAGAGTGTAGCCCTAGGGGCCAGAGAGATAATACAGTGGTAGGGTGTTTGCCTTGTGTGCAGCTGACTCAGGTTCAATCTCAGGCACCCCATGTGGTCCCCTGAGCACTGGCAGGAGGCAGGAGGAAGTCTTGAGAGCACTGCTGGATATGGCAAGGAAAGAAGGAGAGAGAGAGGAAGAAAGGGAAGGAAGGGAAGAAAGAAAGAAAGAAAGAAAGAAAGAGAGAGAGAGAGAGAGAGAGAAAGAAAGAAAGAAAGAAAGAAAGAAAGAAAGAAAGGGAAGGGAAGGAAAGAAGGAAAGAAAGAGAGAAGGAAGAAAGGAAGGAAGAAAGGAGAGAGAGAAGGAAAGGAGGAAAGAGAGAAGGAGGAAAGGAAGGAAAGAAGGAAGGGAGAAGGAAGGAAGCTAGCAAGCAGGCAGCTATCTAGTCCTAGTTTCAGAGTCAAATATTCAGATAGATCCCAGCCATAACACAGTAAGGACCTGCCTTCCTTGCATGCCGCTAACATGAGTTTGTCACCTGGAATCACATACAGTACACCTGGAGCACTGTTCGTGCAGAGCTTAGAATAAGCCCTAAACATTGCAGGGTGTGACCCCCCTCCCCCCAGTCAATAAAGAGTGTGACCCTCAGAGAACATCATAGCTAGTGTGGAAGTCCAGCAGCCTCCACCACAGCCAGTTTGGATGATCCCAGGTCACTGCAACAACAACCACAATGAAGGGAAAGAAAAACACAAATTTGATCTTCAGATAACCCAATATATGTATGTTTGTCTTCGCAAATATATGTGGTTTACAGGTCCCCCAAATCTTTGGAATTTCCTAAGTGATTACAGTAATGAAAGCTTCTTT